CAACGACCGAATGTATTACACAAATGATAAATGTAAGCGATACATATCGTTAACGATAGAACTGTGTATCGTTTGCGCGGAGTATCGCCTATTGTTGTACGGGGTGGAGTCTGCGACTTATAGCGTTCCGTACAAATAAACAATGATGTATGGATTACGATATTCACATTTTATTTGTGTAATTATCCGTTTTTAACTTGCCTTGGGGACATGTTTTTCTAGAATAAGAATAAGAATGTGTAGGTAAATGCCTAGATCAATTCCAAGACGAGTCCTCTAGAGCAACAATAACACAGGTCTGCGAAATTATTTTTTTGAAAAGTTTTTTTCATAAACTGTTCTTATTCGTTATAATTACATTATAAATAATATAAAACAGAATTTATTTGGTATATATCACGTCACACTTCCCAGATTTACATGGTTTAATATTAGCTTATAAATAACTACAAGTCAAAAAATTTTAAAAATATAGAAAAGGCTTTTTTTACAATTTTATTAGCTTTATTGAGTTTGAATGAAATAAAAAAGAGTAAAATAAAATACAAATAAAAAAAAAACAATCAATAACGTGTTTTCTTTGAAAGGAAACTGCGTTTTGTTGGTTTTTTGTTTATGAGTTTTTACTTCATCTCTACATATCATCCAACAATAGTCCGCCATCATATTAACGTCCCAACGGCCTTGAAATCTTCTTTCCATCTCTTTTATATCTTGATGGACTGTAATCGCCTAATTTTTTTGGGAAAACATTAATATGAGATTTCAAAAAATGGATTTTCCAACTCATATTACAACCTAAGTTTTTATAGGCGTTTAACATTTCTGTGAAAATACTTTTATGATTACTCCAACCTCCAATTTTGGTCTAATCAGATATTTCCAAATGTAAGTTTCTTGCTCTACTATCCCATTCACAAATATAATACGGGAATTTTATGTATCCTTGCTATTGACCAAGAAGCATAATATGAGTTTTAAGTCTACCCAAATGTTCGGAGTATTTTATGTACTTTAAAACAGTTCTCAAGTTTGCATAACTGAAAAGATGAACTGACTGATGCAAATTTATTGCCAATATGTAAGAGCAGAGCTTTTAAACTTCTTTTTCATGAATCTATAAAAAATTGCCACTCTTCTGCTTTGTATTCGATGTCAAATTTTTGTATTAAACCGCTAACACTACTATAGCTAACTACAGCAAAATACCAAACTATCTTCTATCTTGAAATACTGTCAAAATCTGGTCCTCTTTTTCGATATCACTAAAATGTCGTCTCCGCATCCAATGAATTGTTCTCTTTTAAGTGTGAAACGACTAATTCTGCAGCATCTTGGGGTAATCTGTATGAATGATCAAGGTTCATTTGTAGGGTGTATGAAAAATTTATTATAAATATAATATGCCGATAAAAAATAATGTGACGTGTTACAATTTAAAAAAAAGTTTATATTTGCATTAAGTTGACATACTTAATGTCAACTTAACATGTGCAAGTTATTCTTAAAATTCTCAAAAAAACTTTTTCATCACAGACCTGTGTAATCAGTCAAAATTCTACTTTAACCTCACCCAAAGAACTACTACTAAATAAAAACACATTTTACACAATTAAGTGGTAAAATAACCCATATTACAACGACACAAGGTAAAATACCTTGTGTCGTTGTATCGCAAAAACTAGATGCAATAAACACCTTTCTGTATATGTAATTGTTTCTAAGATACAGCAGTAACACTATAAGGCAGGAATTCAAAATTAAAACAGAGTACCATAAAAGCATGTTTTTTTAAAATTAACATGAAGCATCTTAAAAGTCCTAGAATGTGGCATAATAAATAAGACAGAGTCAGACAATTGCAATTCTAGAATGTAAGCAATATATTAAATAATATAATATTTAACCTTAAATCGTTAGTTAATTCTTATCTCGAAACAGAAAACATTGTAAGAAAAAATTCAAATTCGATTAATCTTTAAAAAAAATAACTGCTAATTACCGGCCAACGTTTGGCCAATCAAAATCAGCAACAGATTGACTCGATTTTCGTATGCGGACTCTATTCACCAATGTAAAAAAGCTATTAAAAGTATATGAACTAAACCCTAAATAAAACTTGAGACAAACATCACAGAAGTAAGTAGCTTTTTAGGAAAATAATTATTCATTATTTTCGAAGATTTTTTGTTTTTGAAGATTTTTTGAGTTTTTGGGACATTAACTGTTGATCCTTTTAAATTCAAGAAAGTGATGTATGTGTTTAAAAAACAAGAAAATGCTATAATCGTGATTAAAATTTACATAGGCCGTTACAAGAATACATGTTAAGCCAGAAATATCCTAGACTGCACACTAATTTGTAATAACTGGCGTGATGGCTTCAAAAATGCAGAAACAGCTAATAAAAATATTGACATTATAATCATTGGTAAGCTTCAATTTTTTAATTAACCTAACTAGGTCACGTTATTACAGTTTTGTATTAAGAAAATAATGTTTCTATGTTGATTTTGTAACAGACGGTGAAGGTGAAACTTGGATTTTTTTCTAAGCATTTTAAAATAATTATTTTGGGAGGAATACTTATAGACCCGGGGCACTGGTTCTCAAAATATACAAATGTCGAACCCCTATATAAAGAACATTGCATCCTATTGCACTAGATTCGGTTGTCCTCAAAGTGTACTAAGGTAGTTGATCTATGGAATATCACCATCACCTGGTAACTACACAAGCATCTAAATCAACCAGATAAAGTTACGAAAATATATTCAATAATACATTGATATTGGTGCGATACATTTGAATGTATTAAAATTTACATACAAATGGAGTACAATTGACGATAAAGTTGTCTAAATATTTGGTATACACAAAAACAATGTTCTATCCATAATTTAAGATATATCCTAAATATTGCTATTTTATAAGGAAATATACATCGATTACAAAATACCGTATGTACATAGTATGAAATATGTTTCGAATGTGTTCTTATGAAAATTGGCAGTGAATTACGTAAATCGATCTAAATGTAACTTGAAATATCATTTACGTGTCTATTTATAATGAAAATGTACATACAATTATTTATTTATACAGTTTAGAATAAGACACGACCTGTATTTGCCGTTGTGACGTCACAGTCGACCGATATATACACGTTATTTAATATTATATATAAATTTATATCATGAAAAGCTGTGACAAGTTTCATTATACCCATGTTATTGACCCGTACCTTTTTTTTTAAATAAATCTTTTGTACAGTTTAAGTCGACAATCGCGCTACAGTACAGTTAAACTAATTTATTAACAAAGCATATACGCGGTTAACATTTTTATACCCTACATACTAAATAATAGAGTTGGAAATTAGAGAATTGAACTATACAAACTAAATCGTCTTGTCACCAGTGAACAATCAATGCTCGGTGATACACATCACCCATCATTATAATATCTAACTCAGGTGCTACTAACTTCATTATTATAGTTTTAGTTTTTCGTGTGTTTATTCCTTGTTTTGAGACATCATTTTATAAACTGATAAAACGTGCTGTAATTTCTTAAAAGATCATATTTAAGAGTCGTGCCCTAACACAATAAAGCTAGGTCTGTGTACAACCCATCAAAAATACGAGTACGCTTAATATTTTTCTTAAACCGCTTGGTTTCTCTGTTAAAAAAAAACTTGATAAATAAATTTATACAAAAAAAAATAGAATCTGTACAAAAATTACAGTGGTCTTGTTGCGGTTAATAACTCGAGTTAGACTTTTTTCAATAAGGAAGTATTTTAAAAAAAAGCACGTCACTTAATGGCGACTCTAGCAAATTGATTGTTACCGGAAACAAATGGACCAAAGATAGTCATTTCCGTTCCTTTTAACTAACATATAAAAAAAAATGTCAAGTTCGAAAATTAGATATCAATACAAATACGAAAAAGTTGAAATAGAATATGAGTTGTTGATTGAATTTTGATAATTAATATACTTTTATACATGAAAGAAAACCGGATGAGTTGTCATGCAGAATTAAAGAAAGTTCGGTAGCGACATCTACTTTGATTTCGGGAACTAATTATATTTTTTTAAATACTTCCTCATTAATTAAAATCAATTGCAAATAAGTTACGATTTTGTGGTAAAACTTGCGTATGTAGCATCAACAAATTAACTAAATACAGTCACTAGCTTACAGCGATCGCACTTTAACGATTATTGTAAATTTACTATGCAATATCTGTATTTTTTAAATATTAAGACGGAGTACATACGCCTGGTCCTCTTCAAATCATATCGGCCGCTGATGCTTCGTATGAAGATGGACGATCATTTCCTCCCTTATTTAGACAAGAAAGTAACGAATTTTGTAAAAAAAAAAATGAACAAAATCAAGGAGCACCATATTTCGATTTACATAAAATGAAACGAATATTTTAGAATCCGCCCGAAAGTCAGTAACTTCTGCAACGATAAACTATCGGAGTCTTAGAGGTTTTTAAGGGTTACAAGTTTTTATAAATACACTTATCACGGCCGCCGTCTTCTCGGGGGAGACGCCAGCTCTCTTGAGATCCCCGCCAAAGTCACCGAGCTCTACGACTACACCTGGTGACCGTCGACCGGGTTCTGTTACAAAATGCAAACAAATGTTACCATAATCTTTCCGACCATTTAATATCTTATTGACAATTCGAGTACCAATTCGATTTATCTTAGTAATCGATTTTATTTATGAAGAAGTTTTAATTGATATTTTATTTAGGTATGCATAACATTAGGTGTTATTTCATAAAAAAAAACTGGTATTTTTTAGAAAACGACACGTAACGTTAAAGTCACTTTATATTACGCCTTTGGGCGTTACTTAACGAAGTACAGTGTGGGGCAGCTGCGAGAGCTGGGGGCGGGGGCGGGTGGGATGTGGGATACAGCACGCACCTGGGGGCGGGGGCGAATGCGGTGTGGGGTACAGGGCGGGGTACAGCACGCACCGGGGGCGGGGGCGGGTGCGGTGTGGGGGGTACAGGGCGGGGTACAGGGCGGGGTACATCACGCACCTGGAGCGGTCACAGCGCGTGCGGCAGGTGGTGCAGCAGCGCGGGCTCGAGGGGCGCCAGCGCGAGGGCGGCGGCGGCGGCGTCGGCGGCGGCGGCGGGCTCCCTTAGCGCGGCCAGCACGAGCGCGAGGCGGCGCCACGTGTCGGCGCTGGTGGGGCGCAGCGCGGCCGCCTCCCGCAGCCACTTCTCCGCCAGCCGCAGCCACCCCGACTGGTAGTACGCCGCGCCTGCGCACACAACACCGCACGCTGCATACCCACCTTCGTCCAAGACACGAATGTTACACCTTCGCGCGGACGTATACGGGGTCTTTCTAATAACGCCAACTTCTGAGAGATGTACCTTATCGATCAATACGTATAGTCATTCTTTCCACATATCCGAACCGACGTGTGTATATGATGTTGTATAATAAATACTTTATAAATAAATACATACCTAACTGCACCATACTGTCGAGATGCGTGGGATGTATCGCGAGTGCGTTCTGGAAACATTGCCGAGCCTCCTCCCACTCGTTGCTCGCCGCGTGAACCAAGCCGCGCTATCAAACGTGACACATATGTATATACAGGGTGTAACAGGGACCGTGTCGACGGCATTAGATAAAAAAAAACGGCCAAGGGGTTGGCAAGGAACCCTTCGTACGAGCAAATAGTCGGATTTTTTTATGGGAGACCCGTTTAATATTTATTTTAATCTGTTTTTATTGTTTTTGTGAAAATCTCAACTGTCCAATTTTCGCAGTTCATGAGATACGGCCTGGTGACAGCAAAAAATAGCCCGTTTGTCGTGATATTTCCGTTCAGGAATCGAACCCGTCGGTTTAAAAAAAAAATTCGTAATTTCTAGTTAGATACTGATTGTGTAGGTTTATAGTTAATGTTACTATGTAACTATAATGTCTAAAATGAAAATACCAACTGTACGAGATAATTTTACGCACCATTTCGGTCGAGTTGATTGTAGCATTGAAAAAATGCTTGTCATTTCAAATACTTATAAAAATAAATAAAATTATAAGAAAAGCATGGCATTTTAGTTATTGTTTTAAATATAAGAACAGATCTTCGTATGTCTTATAGTTTCAGACCCCCATGACGCTCTTAATGTTTCACCTGGGGTTGCCAACTTTTTTGTCAAAAATAATATATGACATTGTTTGAGTAAGGAAAAATAAAGTATTTGAATGAAAAAGAAATATTTTTCAAATCTTATGTTTTTATTTATTTGAAAACTTATTTTCGTGTGCTTTTAACACATGCTAACAGCATTTCTTATTTTTAAACGATTCAAATAAAAAAAATAATTAAATAAATAAACGATTCATTTTTTATCAATGTGTCGTCGCTCTAGTTCTCTCATCCCGCTACTTCGGATTCATTAATGAAAAAACTCTCTCAGTAAAATCTGAAGTGGCGGGAATAGAGAGTAAATAAGAATTGCATCACATGTAATTTTAAGTATATTTGTCAACTGTACATTTATCAGAAAAAAAAATCCTATTTAGTATATTTTCTTTGGATCTCTTTAAGCCTTATTAACTCAGAATATAAATCGTCCATCTTATTAATTAAACTGCCTTGCAATTTTGCCTTTGTAATTACCAATTCAAAATGTTCAAATTTAACCTCATTTTTACCCTAAGCCAGTTACCCTAGCTAAAATCAAACCATTTCGTCATATAATTTAAGCTCATAACAATAAAAAGTACTGTTAACAAATAAACACTGGTTGACGAGTACACTTATTGAGTTGGGTGGTGAGATCACACATTTATGTTATGTTTTTGTTGGTTTCGATTGTTATTATTAATTTTTGATGTGACTTGTTATGGTTGACTAATACAGCAACTGCGATTATGATTTTCACTATAAATTAACAGAATTTCACTAATATAATAAATATATCTTATATCTTTCAATTATTTATTACTTTTGGTTATGTTTAAAAAAAAATGTCCTATCCGTTTGTTATTGTGTTATTATAAAGAAAATGCTATTTTTATTTCCACACACATATTGGGGATTATTGATAAATATTTCAATTAATAATTAACCTTTTGTGCTATCCATACTTTCTATTTTCGTAGGACGTCATGCGGCATATTTGCAATTTACGGGACTTATAATAAGGTTAGTTTTAGGTTGGTACTCACGGTATATAAAACTAAATGACTGAATGGCGTAAGCGCAGCGGCTTCACTGACGCAGCCCGCCGCCGCGCTCACTCGCCCTAACCTGCAGCGTAAATATATCAATACTACGAGAGCCAAATAAGAATAGAATTCCAAAAGAGCCAGCTCGGCCCGAATCGTTCAACTTCAAGTTGAAAAGCGTGCAAAAGAGAACATAAATATTCATTTTTTTCAACAATATTGTATTAATATTATTTTATTTTAGCAATGAATTACGGCACACATAAACCAGCATTGCGTTTAAAGTGGCCAGCTCTAACGTCGCGACTAAAAGCGTCAACTTCATATTCAGTAATAAAGAAAAGACCAAAGTCGAGTCAGCTGTTATAGTAATTCCAATAATATAATATAAGGCCAGAAGTTGAAAATATTTAAAGAACTTAATATTTTATGTTGTCAGTACTAAACTAACCGGGAGCTAACCCTATTCCATTCGGCGTCTGTATACTTGCCTGAGGCAGAGGTCGGCCAGCAGCAGCCAGGCGTGGGCGCGCGGCTGCTGCTGCGGGGCGCGGGGCGAGGCGGAGGAGGAGCCGGACAGCGCGCGCTCCGCCCGGAACGCGCCCGCGCTCTCCGCGCGGATGCTCGCTGCACAGTTGCACACACTCAGTTACCGTCATGTGTACGTGTCACTCGTCCCAATTAACGTGACGCCTGAACGACCCGAAAAACAAATCTCCACAGATTCCCGGATTTTAATATGTGTAATAAGTTGGTGTTGTTTTGGGTTGAGTGTCACTTCGAATGGAAAACGTAACGAAGTTGGCTTTCGATGGGTTCAGGGTTAGGACATTAGTATGAGATCACTAAGTATTGGACCAGCTTTCGACAGCGATCGTAAGTACAGTTTCATCCGTAAAAGATATAACTTTACCATTTATACCTTGCAAACGTATGTATAAATTTCAGTCCCAGTTTCAATTGTTATTTATTAATAAGAAACAGCGTAGGGCCCAAAATACTGCCTTGTGGAATATAGTAGTTAGTATATTGGAATATAGTAATATAGTATAGGATGGTTATCACCGTAGGTATAGTTTATTTTTACCATTTGGAATCTTTCAAGCAAATAGCTGCTAAATAATTTATGTTGAACACCGATTCTGTAATTCTTCTAGCGAGGTGGCGATGGAAATGGTATCACAGGCTTTCGCCAAGTTTAAGAAAATGAAAACATCTGTTTTACGATAATTTTATTTTGATCCAATATACTATTCATAATCAGCCATAATAATAAACAATATTTCAACATTTAATTCTTGAGTCTAAATCCAAATTGGTTCGATGAAATAAGTTTGTTTATCTCAAGATAATGGATAACTCTTTTATTTATGATCCTTTTAAATAACTTTGGTAGAAGTAAAAACTGTAATAGGTCTTATAGGCACTCAGAGAATTCCTACCTCTAATAGTATATACAGTATGTATAATGGCTTTTTTGAAAGCATAGGGAAAAACACTAAAACGGAAGTAGTTGTGGAAGATATGTGTCAATGGAGCTGAGAGTATAGTAGCATATCATTTTAATATATTTGAGGAAACATTATCATATCCGACTATTGTGTCTGATTTTGAAGACCTAATTATATTATACACTTTATGTGAGTTCAAGTTTTCGTTTAAATCATCACGGTTACGCATGCATCACTATATACCAAGGTTAATCCAGGACTTACGAACAGCAATATTTTTTTAAATACATAGATGGGCGAACATACCCGCATCTCTGGTGCTATGCGTGTCGTCAGCCGGCTGGGAGTCGGATAACGCGTCCAACTCGGTGTACCCATTATACTCGCCCTCAACGTCAGTTTCCGAGCTATTCAACAACGTGAGAAGCTCTTTACCCGCCGCTAGCGCCTCCTGAAAACGACATTCAAGCTGAAATTCTTGACATACATAGACTTGCGAGCACGTCATCAGGGTAGCGGATATGCTGATAAACGTCATAGCTGCAGCGCGGTGAGCGTCCACAGCGGCCAGGGCGCGGCGGAGTAGTGGGGGTGAACGGGGGGGGGGGGGGCGTACCTCGGGGCGATGCGCGCGCAGATGCAGCGCGGCGAGCGTCCACAGCGGCCAGGGCGCGGCGGGGTAGTGGTGGCGCGCGAGGGCGGCGGCGGCGAGGGCGCGGGGGGCGCGGGGCCCGGCGCAGGCGCAGGACCACAGCGCGGTGGCGAGGCGCAGGCCGCCGCTGCAGGACGCGCGCGCCTGCAGGCACGCCCGCGTCGCGTCCTGCCACGCGCACACACAACGTTATACGACCTGCTACTCCAACTGATTGTCGAGATCAGTCGATTCATTTCACGATAAAGTCAAACGAAATACCGCTTTTGCGTTAATCTAATTACATTCTCGCGATTTAAAAAGGAGATCAATAGACCCGTCTCGAAACCCCCCCTCTACTTTGGGAAATATAATACATAACAAATTTAAGTTCACGTATTTATGATCGAAAGGCTTTCTTGAAGAATCCTCCCATCTCTGATTGTTTAAGTCGATACCTTTACGAACGCGATCACAATTTCCAGGCAGATTTTTTCAAAGTCTTTGACATTGGAGCCTCCCGTCAAAAATCTGAATATTGATCTGAGCATAATAATCGTTTTTGATGATCAAATTGTATATTGAAATTAGACATCCGATCGTAGTTTATATCGGTTGGACCTCCTCTTCTACAACTCCCGGCTCGATATCCATGCCCCGAGGATCATATTTGGGACTCCTATTGTTTAGTGTATATATTGATGAAATCTTGTCGATTTTTTTTTTCTCATATACGTTTGTTTAATCAAATGTTCCCGTAAAACATATGACGAGAAATTATAGAACCTGAACAAATTTACCTTGAATATAAATAAATTAAGGAGAAATAATATAGTCGCACTTTCTAGAATTATGAACGTATGTGAAATGTTTTATTTCGGATGCGTTCATCATCATAGACATAGGACTACAACATTCTAAGAATATTTTGTTCACAAGAATAAACATGTTTTATTCGTAACAATAAAGGGAAAATCTATCACTAAATCAATATAAAAGAAAAGTGAGAGATTTTATATTTAAAAATGAATAATCAGAGAGAGTGGAGAAGCTGTTTGTTTGATGTGTAGGTTAAGTTTATTCAATGCCATCACTATTGTTAAAATTTAGCAATTAAATAAATTTTCATAATATTTAAATTATATACGACTGTTTGTTTACCTAAATAATAAAAAATCGCTCGACTCAAACTGACTCGAACGAATACACTCGATCACACTTTGAAAAGTCACATGACTTTGTGATTTATTAATATCGCGTTGTATTTGATAATCTAACAATTTTATATTTGTATAAAAATATCTACTAAGAATATTGTTGCATTAGGTAACTCGTGCAGAAGAGTTGTAAATAAAATAAAAATGTGTGTTACCGTAATAAGGTTCACTTTATTAAGAAATTTGAGTTGTTTGATTTTATTTATTAATCGATTGACTGTTAAGTGCATATTATAGTGTGCAAATATAAGGAATCACGTCCTATACGCGATCAACAATTACTTCACTCGTCAACGATATATCACGTTCACATAATATTCCCTATTAGCTTTAAGTAGTATATAAGATGAAGATTCTGCTTATTGAATAGAGATCAATTCTGCAAGTTAGTATTAATTCAGTATAACATATAGTTCATGGTGCATGCATGCAGCATGGAGGAGCGGCGGGTGAGTAGATATAGGAATAGATAATTTCATAAATACTTATAATACCGGGTATAAGATGCGATTTTACACTGGCTTACGCCGACTTTGTCAACGCCGGGGGTTTACAAAATCGACTGCAGCTGTGGTGGTTCATATTTAAGTCAAACCAAGAGATCCATCGAGGAAAGGGTTAAAGAACACAAAGCAGCTGTCAAAAACCGTCAGTCAAATAAGTTTGCCATTGCGGAACACCCAATACTCAATACTCAAATGTTTGTTGCAAACCATACTGCAAAGAGGCACAAATTATTCAAGAGTAGTGCGTTAAGCGATTGAAATTAAAAAACACCCTAATAACTTCAATCGAGAAGACAGATATAAAATATCACAAGCGTGGAATCCAGTATTTGCTAAAACGCAACCTCTTTTTTCGCAATCGGTAAATCTCCAGAATACGACTCTTCTGCGGAATAGGGACACAGTGTTATTTGCGACGGTAGTTGGATAAAAAATCGGAGGGTGGAAGAGATTTATCCTCGGATGCGGAGGCGTAGACTTGCTGTTCCCTCCTCATCGTGACCACGGCCGGTGCAACTCAGCCAAACCGTTGGCGCAGGTCAGTGTTAAATCGCGTTTAATACCAGGTATTATAAGTATTGAATAATGCAGCGCGATAAGTTATTTTGATATAGATTTCGATCACAACGATGTGACAAATAACGCAAATTCACATTTATAGCATTTATAGCATATAGAGTACACACTCACCATGGCTTCGTTGAGCATGCCCAGATGCATGTACTGTAATCCTAAATAGTAAAACGCGAGGTGATCGTTGTCGTCCAGCTGCACCGCCCGCAGCAGCAGCTTCAAGCATATGTCGTTCTCCGAATCCTTCTCGATGCGGGAATTCGTTTTCTGTGTGTATAAACGCAAATAAAAACTTATTAGCAAAATCGGGCAAAGTTAATACCACGTTACTTGTTAACTTGACTTCGTAAATTGTTATGGTGTTAAATGTACAAATAATAACGCAAGTTAAAACTTATAAGTTAAAGTTAACAATCGTGTAGTTTAACCTAGATTGTGCCTAAAAATTAAAGCGGCTTAGTTTGAAAGAAAATTTAAATAAAGCTAGTAGAGCAAGAATCTTCTTAGTTTCAAAATATTTTTTTTTCCTGTTGAGAAAACTATTTCGATAGCACCACTTAAAGGAATAGCTGTGTCATATTTCATTAACAACCCTTTTTACTTATAATGGGCCTATACCTTAACCTCGATCTTTATAAAAACTGTTTTATGCAGGAAAACCGCATCAGTAACAACGTCATTGGAATCAGAATCCGAGTTCTAATCAAATTTTGAGCTTTGTTTTTCTAACTAGTGGCCTCTGTCCTTATCTTTATGAATAGCGGTGCTAGAAAAATTATCTTCATTGTTGCTACCTTTACCGGCATTAACGCATACCGCATAACCGACAATACTGAGAATGAATGCCGATAGCAAAGGATGCTAAATACAATACACTCATTTTTGGGTTGTAGTGTAAAAAGAAACTGAATCGAGTAACTAGGTTGAACACACTGAAAATCTCAAGTATCGATGCTACCAATTATAATAGAGCCAGTAGTAACGTGCTGTAAATGTTATTGTCGTGTACCTGAGCTTTCATCTGGTGCCCGATCCCCGCGTACAGGCAGCAGCGCGCCAGCAGTTCCCCCTCCTTCTGCTCCTCTATACTGAGCGCACTCTCCGCACTCTCTATACCCTCCTCTATCTACACCGTGGAAAACATTCATCCCATCATTAATAGCTTATAATGGAAACCGACAAAATTGAGATGAAAGAAATCAAAAACATGGATCTTGCGAATTCAAAACAAGTTTTTTTTTTGTGATATAGATATTTCACAGCCGGTACGTACAACAAAACTCAAAAATAATAATACGAACATTTCGATATTAAACGTAGAGAACATATAGAGAACATTTTGAAAAGTGAACAGGTATGACGACTAATTTTTGTTTGTTTGTCCGTCACGTAGACTGTTAAAAAAATATTAAACACGTATTTTTTGGAGATGCGATACATGGAGTTGAAATTTCGCATGACGTCACGTTATGGTACGTTTTCTACTAAACTATGACCTAGCGAGCTTCAATTCCTAAACTTTAATGCCTGTTATTTAACCTATTTCTTGTTAAATTGAAGTAAAAAAAAACGTATCTAGTATTTTTTTTTTTTTGACTGACGGACTAAATAGAATGGCAAGTTTTTTACCCAGACGTCATCCCTATTACAGATGAGGTACCGAGATAGTAATTCGACATTATATCATCCAAAATACACTATTTGAAAAAATCATATGGGATTTGTGGAATAAATACGCATTACGTACGGCAAATCTGTTCCTATTCCATTTTTAATGATGATCTATCTCTTTCATTGTTTACATAGTACTTTCTCTGACGCTAGGATATATGTAAATGATACGTAGCCAACTGTAGCACTCACCCAGCCCATCCCGTAGCAGGTGTTGGCGGCTACGAGCCGTAGCGCGGCGTCGGCGGGCACCAGCGGCGCGGCGCGCGCGTACACGCTACGGGCGCGTGTTGCCGCCCCCCACCCGCTCCCGCCTGAGATCATAGTATATGCAATCTAATTAAATATACTTTATGTTTGTATGGATGCTCGTTTTGTTTGTTGTGACCTTTGGTGGGTTGTTGTGAGATTTATTTTGAATTCAGTAAGTTTTGTCACATGATATAGCAGAGAGTCGATAGGAAATAAAAAATAATAATTTGATTTAAGAAACTAATCCATATTAAAATTACAAATGTATAAGTGTATTTGTTTGTTGTGATTATAATAACGTTTTTTTTAACGTTTTAACGACTAAATATTATAACATTTTAAGGAAATAATAATATCTACCTTCAAAATATGATCCTCGGTAAGGAAGTATCGGTCGGACACTAGTTGCGTTATGGGCATCTCTATCTATCACTTTGAATTTGACGTTTGTTAAGATTCGCTTATATTTTGCCAATATAATCCGGAAGATTATCATTGTTTTAAAACTTTTGGAATTTGAAATCTATCTATTTGAAATTAAAATATATCTTTTAATCAGCAAAATAAAAAATGTCTACTAGTTAATAAATTATTACACTTTTAGTGTTATTATGAAAGAAAAACGGAATACTTATACAATTATAAGCTTGTCTGTCGCAGCCGATTTTCTTCGAAACTACTGGACTGATTAAATAGAAATTTGATACACATACGGATATTGATCTACAGTACAGTATATTTTAATCAGTTAATGTGGTCTCCTAGGACCATTTTCAAGTAACTACCACGATCAAAGTACCTGCCCTCGCTGTCTCGTTTCAAAAATCCATTCAATATGAATGATGTTTCAAACTAATTTATATCAGGTCTCTTTACTAAACCGGCGTAAATTAGAAAATTGAGAAAATATATTTCTGCGAGTTATATTAAATGACAAATTAAATGAAAGGGCTTATTACAAGGATTATTTTTTCTGCGATCGATATTAAAAAAAATGTCATCCATATAATAAGTTACAATCTGAAAATAAATATATAATTTCAAAATTTCCCGTGTAAGCACCACTTCTGTCATAGCGTCGCTACGTCACGGCCCTCTGCTATGGATAAGGGTCGGCGACAACTCTATATAATTACAAGAAGGAAAACGACAACTCTATATAATGACCTGGCTCGAGGTGCTGCTGCAGATGGTGGTGGTGGTGGTGGTGGGCGTGGTGGTGCGCGGCCGCGTGCGTGGCCAGCGCGCGCTGCCGCCACACGTGCGCGTGCCCGAACGAGAACTTCATCGCGCGCTCCAGCGACTGCCACCACACAGAGTTCACTCGCGACACGTGTACTTGCACCACATCTATACTCACGTGGCGCGGGTACGGTGACATTTCACATTTATTTATTGATATTAACAATGCTTATTCATTCATCGACGAGGCGAAATCTCTCAGGAAACTACAAAATATTATTATAGTTTAGTTTGGCTGTTGCGACACCGAATACAAAAAATTGTCAAACGATTTTTTTAATTCGATCCTTATTTAAAAAACGTTCCAATTATCGGTACGAGTATTAAACTTTAGAGGGTTCGATTTCATAAATTACGACTATTAAAAAAATATTCGTGTTTTATTATACAAATTTACATAAATCAATCTGTTCTCTATAACGATGTTGTTTAATTCATTCAAAATACAAATTGCGTGAAATGAATTGATTAACGAACGTCCCCGCACCCGTGCTATGTGAAACAGACTATAGTACATCAATAATATAAGAAGACACTAAGAAATAATGACTATTAAAAAATGATTAGTGTTTTAGTATAGAAATTTACACAAGTCAAACTCTTTTCTATAACGATGAATTCTAATTCTTTCGAAATACAAATTGCGTGAAATGGATTTAATGAACGTCCCCGTCCCTGTGCTCTATAAAACAGACTATAGTGCATAAAAAAATTAAGTCTACACATCTGATATAACAAGATCGCTATGCTCGATCGAGTGAAGACCCGCCTGTCCCCAGCGCGTCGGCTGTGGGGGGCGGTACAGTACCTCCAGCACCAGGCACAGCTGCCCCCAGCGCGTGGCGGCGAGGGCGAGCAGGTCGCTGAGCGCGACGGCGTTGTGGAGAGCGTGGGCGCGCGCGGCCTCGAACTCGCCGCTCTGGGACAGGACGGCGTCGCGCACCGCCATGGCCTCGCCCACCAGCAGCACCAGTACCACCTCCTCGTACTCGTTGCGCGGCACGAACTGACGTCACATCGGTCCGATTACGTTGGAAGTTTACATAAACAAAACACTGACCAAGTGCGAGTCGGATATTTGTTGAATTTTAATTTAATTATTCATTCGATGCTGTACTGAGAAATATTCTTAATTAAGTATTTTTGCTTAAAAAATCCCCTTTGTCCCTGACACTCTGAGCTCCGGGCGACTGCTCTAACCATTGAACTCCCCAGGACCTAACAGGATTGATGAATTTTTTAAACACTTGTTACCTTTTCGCTCCTCCAGAGCGTATTTATATTTAGGCAAACCACCCAAACAGCCGATAGAATTTTTTTTTCAAATATTTAGAGCATTCGCCCGGACAGCGAAAGGTCGTGGGTTCAAACCATGTTAGAGTGGCAGAGACAGAGTGGATTTTTCAGCATTTTTCATTAAGAATATTATTTATTTTGAAATTACTATATAAACATATATTCTGTACATATTTCATGATTCAACCTGTTGACGTTATCGATAGTGAGCAAAAACAAGCAAAAAATTAGTTGTACGGTGGTCCGCTTAAATATTTTTTTATTCTGGTTTTAGTATTTGTTGTTGAAGTGGCAACAGAAATACATCGCCTGTGAAAATGTCAATTAACTTTGACGGTTCATGAGATAAAACCTAGTGACAGACGGATAGACAGACAGAAAGCGAAGTTTTAGTAATAGGGTTCCCATTTGGGTTCGGAACCCTAAAAAACAAACATATCGGTGGTACGATGTTAACGAGTGACTTATCTCCTGTTATTAAAAATTAGCTAAGATGTTCAGTTTAAAGAACTTTATTCTCATAAGAAATTTACATTTCACTTATAATGAGATGAGTATGAATACAATAAAATTATATTATGCTAGGTTAGCACTGTTGTACAATCTTGTATATGTTGCATAAGTTTTTTTTTAAAAACATTTAAGTTATTACAAGTCTTAACGTCATTAGGTAGTTGGTTAAATAGCTTTGCTCCCTCATAAACTATAGTCGTTTTTCCGTAATTAGTTCTAGGCGTGATTAATTTAATTTTCTGTCTATTCCGAAGATTATGTGTATTTTCCTTTATATTTAGTTGTATGTCAGATTTGAATGCGTTAGTCGTTATTTTCTTTACCAATATACATGTATAATATTTGTATAGTTGGGAGAGGTTAAGTAATTTACTTTTCTTGTATAGCTTTTCAGTTGACATTAGAAATGGATAATGAAATAATACCTTGATTATTTTGTTTTGAGATCTTTGCAGTGGTTTCAAATTAGTCGGTGCAGCGGACCCCCAGATTTCTATTAAGTACTCAAGATGTGACTTTATTAAAGAATTGTATATAATTGCTTTGACTTTTTTTGGTATGCAGTGTGCTATCTTTCGTAGTCCTCCTAGCACAGTTGATAACTTTGAATGTATATGCTCAATGTGAGGTTTCCATGTTAGTTTGTCATCAATTCGCAACCCCAGGTATTTTTCTTCATAAGACCTTTGAATTGGTTCATCATTTATTTTGAGAGGTTCAAAGTCTGGGATATCTTTATTTTTTGCCGAAATAATCATGTAAGATGTTTTGGACGTATTTACTGTCAATAGGTTACACTTAAACCATTCGTTTACGATATCTAGATCTCTTTGCGCTTCGCTAATTATTTCATGGATAGATTTACCAAAATAAAACAGACATGTGTCGTCAGCATATAATGTTAGGTGACCAGTGAGACCAATTTTATTTATATTATTAACATAAATTAGAAATAGTATCGGACCGAGAATGGAACCCTGTGGTATGCCGTATGTGACATCTTTGGGAGAGCTTACGAATTCACCAATTTTAACAACCTGACACCTATTTTGCAAGTAAGATTTGAATATATTTAGAGCTGTGGAATGTATGCCTATATTTTTCAATTTTAAGAGTAATTTTTGGTGACTTACGGTATCGAAAGCTTTTTTTAGGTCTATAAATACTCCCAAAGCAATATATTTTTTGTCAATATGAGTTTTTATTTTGGTGATTAAATCTATAGTAGCTGTGAGTGTACTCGACTTCGACCGAAAACCGTATTGTTGGTCAATTAATAGCTTTTTCTCAGATAGATAGTCGTTAAGCTGATCACACAAAATTCTCTCAAATATTTTTGATATGACGGGCAGGACCGATATTGGCCTGTAATTTCCCGGGTCAGTTTTAATTCCAGATTTATATATGGGACTAACTTTGGCTATTTTTAGTGAATCAGGGAATATTCCAGTTTTCAAGCATTTGTTAATTGAGTGTACTAACTTTTCTATAATTATATTTTTTAGACATTTGATTGCTTTAGTGGAAATATTGTCTAACCCAGTGCTGGTGTTAGTGTCTAGGTCATCTATAATCTTATTTACTTCATCTATACTACAAGGTTTAAATTCGTGTAATGTTATTTCATGTTGGTATTTGTGTTCATACATCAAGATCTTGCTGGTATCCGTATGATATTTTTGGGGTATTTTATTGGCTAGGTTCACACCAATAGTCGAAAAGAAAGAATTAAAGTGATTACAAACTTCAGTACCATCTGTAATCAGATCGAAATCAGATATAAGTTTAGAGGGAACAGAGCCACCTTTGGCTTTATTTATTGATAGGGTATTAATTAATTCCCACATTTTTTTAGGTTGATCGTATGTGTCTTGGAACAATTTATGATAGTACTTTTCTTTGGATATCTTAATCATCTTTCGAACTTTGCGCTGTTCTTCTGTGAATTGTTTTAAGATATCTGCATCCATAGGTTTTTTTTTTAGTTTCACTCCATAATCTATTTCTAGAATTTATTGCTTGAATAATATCTTTGTTTATCCAGTCATTTTGTGGTTGATTAAGAATTTTAGTCTTCTTTATTTTGCTTCCCTGTATTTTTTTCAATATAAAATCTTCTAATTTATTATAATCATCATCGCTATCGTTGTAAAGTGATTCTGTGCTGATTTTGTAAAGTTTCTCGTAGTCAATCGCAGTATATTCATTCCTTTGCTTAATTTCAGGTACTAATTTGCCAATTTCAAGGTATAGTTGTTTATGATCAGATATGGATGATTCAACAATGGAAAGACTGAATGAATGATTGTTTACATTTGTGCTTACATGATCTATTATAGTTTTTGTACTGCTTGTAACTCTTGTAGCGTATGTTGTGTCGATTTTGTTTATTATTTTATATCCAGATTCGTGTAATTCTCTCTTATATCGCGTGACGTGGTTGTCTCTCGTGAGAAGATCGGTGTTGAAGTCACCAAAGAGTACAGCTCTCTTTCTTTCCCCTAATTGGGATGAGAGAATATCTAGGAAACTTTCTATTTCAGCGCTCCCATCAGGTTTATAAATAAGTCCAATATTAAGTGACAGCTTCTCAACGTATATCCATAAATAGTGGTTCCCATTTTCAATAAGATCTTCCGTTAAATCGAACTTAATGGTGTTATGTATATATATGGAAATTCCACCACCTCTTCCCGTTTTCCTATAATTATATATATGTATATAATCGGGTATCTGGTATATTTGGGCTTCCTCTTCAGAGACTAACCACGTCTCGGTGAACAATAGAATGTGAGTTTTCCTTCGGATAGCTCTTAATATGCACTTAATTTCGTCAAATTTTTCTCTATTCCGGATACTGCGGAGGTTGGCGTAAAGAAATCGTAATGATGATGGAGTAAGTGGGATATTCTCATATTTATCAATTATTTGGTGATGTAGTGCAGTTGTACAATTTTTATTTAGTAGTAAAGGAGTAATTAGTTTTTTTGTGTAGTTTTATCTACTATGATCCGTGGTATTCCTTTGACATATTTAATTACTAGGCCCCTTTCACCATTTTCCATACGCTTACTCAGCTCCTCTTTGACCGATTGTAGATATTGATTTTGAGATGGAGTTTGGTCTGAGTATATTTTTATGTTTTCTGGGAGCTTCGTCTTGTTACGGAGGAGGAGTTTTGGCGTATCTTTGTTGTCGAAAAATATTTTTATTGGTCGATCTCTGCCTGGAATATATTTACCCAATCGCATTGATTTTATTGGCTTAGGACAGGTAGCAATCAAGGATATGCATACTTTTATACATTTATCTATGTCATGGGAACGTCTAGAAATATAATTGGTATCATTTATTTCAGGTATTCCCACAATTACAACGTTTTTTTCACGATCAGTACGCTCCCTCAGTTCTGATATAAGAATTTCTTGGTTAAGAAAGGTTGCTTCTTTATGGGACTTGTTAGAATTTTGCTGATTTTTCAAATAGGACATTTGATGTTCTATGTCCTCAATTTTTGTTTGTGTAATTGTGTTTTTAGACTTTATATTTTCTATTTCATCACTGATTTGATTAATTTGTTGTGTTATATTTTCAGTTACTAATTTTACAGATTTGATCTCACTTTTGATTTCACCTATTTCATTTTTTATGAAAGACAAATTCTCGTTTTGTTTTTTAGCAAAGTCCTGTAGAAACTCCATTATATCCGAACGAAAACTGTTAAAATCCTTTTTGTTAAAAGCTAAGATGTTGCTCTTTTAAAACGCAATAATGTAGGATTATGAAGTGTCTAATATTTAAATTTCATTGATTTTAACATTACAAACAGACACTCCAATTACTTATATGTATGATAACTATTTAAATCTGAGTTGTTGCTGGTGTTTCACAAATAACACTGTATACGTCTCTCGGTTCGGTGTGTGTGTGTGTGTTTGTGTGTGTGTATGTGTGTGTGTGTGTGTGTGTGTGTTGGTGTGTGTGTGTGTGTGTGTGTATGTATGTATTAGTTGTGTGCGCGCGTGTATCGGTACCTGGTTGATGCCGGCGTACTTGTTGGGCTTCCACGGGCCCTCGGACACGTGGTCTTCCCTCCGCCTGCTGAGGGTCCCGCTGGCGGCCACCGCCGGCCTCTCCGGCGCTTTGTACACCTGATGTTGACGAGAAACATATCTCACTTACAAAACCTGCTTCTTCATTAACCACCCGTGGTTAAATTAATTAATGGAACGTGCTCGACGGCCTCCGTAGAAGGCCCTTCAGTTTTCTGTATACTGTTTTATGCTATTTAATGCGGTAACTTCGACTCTCGCATGAGCGCTTACACGTTAAAAATTGCTTGGGGACACTTATATTCATATGTCGTTTTAAACTTTCATGGTCATTGACATCAAAATATCCTATTTTTATCAATTATTCGGACTTGTATGAATTGTGATCACAACCGCCCACCTGTCCGGTGACGCCCCGCATGAGCACCTCGGCCAGCTGCCGCGCCAGCGTCAGCCGAAGCGCCTGCGTCGACGGCGACTCCACCGCCGACAACATCTCCCGATACCTGCGCCGGCGCCACACCGTGTTGTGAGTACAACTTACTCGATTTTAAACCTTATTCCCGAGTAAGTAATGCCACGAAGCGGAAATACTATAATTCGCTCACATATAGACCGTGGATACGACAGAAGAATTACATAGTGGGATTTTTGTTTTTGATGGGATTCAAATATCAGACAAAATCAAAATCAATGAAACATTACATAGAAATCAAACAAATAAATTAAGTCCAGACAGACATAAGATACGATAATTATTATCAATACGGATTCTTAACAATAATCGCTCGGCTCGGAGCACTATAGATTAAATTAAAATTACAATGCAATCACGAAACAAACAAACAAACTTATCCCATTCCTGGACTTTACGATATTAAAAACCCTTGAAGACGATATATAGATTTTGATATTAAATAAGTTTTTAGTTCGAGGTGCAATATTCTGTAGAATTCGTGATATTGATTCCGGAACTAACGCAATGAGATCTCGACCCCCGCGGGTCACCCATCCGCGTTACCTGTCGATGGCGCTGTGCAGCCGGCCGGCGCGCATGTGCAGTATGGGCACGCGCTGCAGCGCCGTCTCCAGCGTGGGCCCCGCGCGCGTGGCCAGCTGCGCGCGCTGCAGGTACAGCAGCGTCAGCTCCGACGCTAGCTCGAAGCTGCGGATCTGCACCGTACACATAGTATACCTACTGAGCAACTTTACTCTGGGTGCCTTGATGCCTTTTAGAGAAGGCGTGCATAAGGTCAACGAGATTATAGAGTCTACTGAGTTTGCACATGTTGATAAATTTACGATAAGATAATGTATAATGCAATTGATTCCTGAAAATGAGTTTATGTTAATAAATTCAATATGTAATATCGACCGATTCAGTCAAATACAACTGTAAAATTGACTGTGTGATATCACTGTTATTTATAGCTAGCTATTTTATAAATGCCGACGTTCATCGATGAATTAATACATTATTGCATCCGAGGAAAACTCTTTATTTGAGTAGCTTTCTTCCTACCTGAGATGTCATCTGTGCAGAATTCTTTTAAACGGCATAAAATCTTACAATACTTATATCTAACCTAATCCTATTATGGTTTATAATACATAGATACAAATTATAATTCGACGATATCTACAATTCGACCAAACAACGTCGGTCAATTAGCGGCGAAAGTCAATTGATTTACGTTTTATCATAATCTTTATATCCAAATAGATTAATGATAGGTATAATGAGTACAACAACACGATGCAGACAGAACAATAGGAGGAAAAACATAAATATATTTCAAAATAAACATGAGTATTATTTGTATGTGTATTGTTATCATTACGTGGCGAACTCGAGGTGTGCCCTTGTGACGTCATAGGTACATGACCTCTAATTTAAAATTAAATTTTAAAGCTGTTCTCATTAGTCAAACTCTAACCACATTATCACATTAACGACATACTAACAGAGTTTACGTCATATTACTTTACTCATTGCTATAACTGGGCAACCTCGGTGACTTTATATTATAACGAATTAACGACGAAGTGAAAAAAAGGTACATTATTTCCAAAGGGAAGCGTCCAGGCAACTCTTCACAGCGGAGAAGAAGATGAGTTAATTAGCGTATTAGCGCATCCCTCTTCTCTGGCGAGGTCAGTAGATGTGGTTGGCAGCCACCTCTGCATTGCACAACCTCGCCTGTCTGGGAGAGGCTCTCCATCCGTCAGGGGGTCTATAGGTCCCGAAAGGGGGGTGAGCGTCCTGGTGACTCGCGACTTCCCGGGTCTCATCCCCAGTAGAGGCTACTTCATAGGGGTTTTCGTGGGTAGGTTTCCGGGAACCCACCGCGGGGCTAGTCCCTCACACCCGCTGTCGCTTGCCAGACGACAGGAGTAGTGCCTAATGCATTTCCTCGGTGCATTATTTTCAAATATGGGATTTTTTAAACTCTAACCAACCTGTGATCTTCTTTGAAAACACGTCTGGTTCGAGTGATTGAGGCGAAAAAATCACATAAAATTCAAATATAAACAGATAAAAAATAAAATAACGTACCATTTCAGATTCCCTCTCGGCTTGTTTATATCTACTCGTGGACCCCGGTAACGCGTTCTGTTCCAAACATAGACCTTTGATGGCGTATGATTCCGCTACTATTCGTAGACTTCGTCTGTTTACAATAAATTAATTCACAATCATTATAATGTACTAAAAAGACATTTGTGCGGAACCCTCGATGCAAGTGTAAGACTCGCTCTTGGTCGTGCTTATATTAATAGAACATTTCATTAGTGAATTTTGATAGGATCTCTTATCCGATAAAGACTTGAATTCGTATACAAATATGTATATTTTTTTATCAATTAAATTTTTGCCTTCACCTCATTTTGATGCTATGAGTACGTGATATTGCGTACCGGTTCTCACGGTGACGTAGTGTTGACGTCATCACTGAGGTACCAGAGTACGACACTCCAACGGGTATATGTAATACATTAACTTTTGGCTCGTTATTTGGATTTGGTATTGGATAACTTTGAATTTAGCTATTGGTGATTACAAAATTGCATTATTATGCAGGTGGATTTTCATTGGTATAGAAACTAACCATACTAACAATATTATAAATGAGACTTGTTTGTTTGACCTTTTGTCGCGTTACAATGAAGGGTCATTATAGTTGACACTTTTTAGTGGAGAGAGATACTTTTAACGCGAAACAATCTTTAATTATTTTCTGTTGAACCAAGCAACAATCCACAGGTGACATCTGATAAAACTATAAATAAATACACATTAGACAACATACATAATCAGAGTTATCTCTAATATCTAGACAAAGAAGGTAAAACTAGAGAACAACTATAAAAAGATCATATCTAAGTTGACTCGACCGGAAACCGAATCCGGTACCTCAAAACGTCACTTCTAAACGGCGTTTAAGCCACTTATCTATAACTACCTATACACCTACTGAGAGCTTCGACCTTTATAATATAAAAGAAAAATATGTTTAAATAGCTTAGCATTATTCAATTTCAATACAACATTCACATTCATGACTTGGAACATTTATTAATTTGCTTTATGTTCAGTACACACCACAGCACATCAGGTTACAACAAAGAGTCACATTCTCACAATTGATTTTGAACTCTGCCGTACATTAATCAAGGTTTAAAATCAAGTGTAGATATTCGACAGTTCGATTGTAACCTGACATTGACTAACCTGCTGTTGATTGTATGTGAATCACTGACCAGTTCACAGGAAACCAATGTGTTGATAACATTCATTATCATTATTATGTCTCCTTTATATGCATATGAATATTGTATATATACACAAGCTGCTTCTGGGGTAATGGTATAAATAGTTGTTGCTTTTGATTTATTTCAGTAAATATTTATACAAGTTTTGATACATTCATTACAAATCAGATTGTTTTGGAGCTCATTATAAAATGTTATGAGTTTTAAACTATTTACAGTGAATTAATCTAGTTAAATGTCAGTACAATATTCTATCAGTAGTGATAATACTCAGAGAAGAATACGCTGCACTACCAAACTTTTAACAGAAATACATATTTGAATTGGGTAACATATAACTTAGGTTACTGAAACTACTGCACTGATTTAAAACGAATTTTTAAAATAGGTGCAGTAGTTTCAGAGTTTATGCAATGCAAACAACAAACAATTATTTTTTTCTTTTTATATCAGTATTTTAAAGATTAATTCTTAATACTATATATTTCTACACTAGGACCTTAATGTACATGCTCCCATACAATGGCCTTACCTTGTGAGTCATTCACACAATATACATTGTGTTCCCTATTGACATGTTGATTGGTTGCTTATAAGTATTCATGTTTACTATTTAATGTGTTATTCTGATTAGATATGTAAATTTGTTGAATAATTTTATATTATTACATAATTTAAATGTGTTTTTCATTTGAAAAATATTAATTGTTGAGATACAGCAACTTTTATTTGAAAAAACTTATATTTTAAATCCTTTGCAACCACATAATGTCAGTCTAGTAACCACAGAGCATTGTTTCAAAATGATAACCAATTTATTGACAAGAGAGTCTGCAAGAGATCCAGAATGAAACAAAGAAGATTCAAATAAAACAATTCAATATAAATTATTGAAAACGCTTTTGGGTAAACCAAAACAATATTTCTAACCACCTGTCTATGTATCCCAACCGTGACTTGGTTGACAAAACAAATGAACAAATTAAATTTCATAGCTCTTAATAATGGTTACAAAACATATAAATCTACGAAAAACATGAGGTAAAATTGTTCAAACATTGCATTAATAAACAAGTAATGTACGGAATTATATGTGAATTTATAAGAAACGTGTAAAACGTTAATATACTTACACAGGTAACTCTTTCTCAGTTAGTGTATTTAACTCTGCCAGTTTATAGTGTTTGAGCGCTTCATCATAACTTCCACATGCATAATTCAGTTTTCCAAGTAGGAGATGAGCATCTAACGCGACACCAGCTCTCTTGCCGGCCTCATCAGTTGCTAAAGTGAGGTATCCTCGGGCCTCTGAGAGCTCTCGTTGAGCCCTCTCATAATTTTCTTTTGTTGGAGCCCATTCATCCAGATATGCTTCTAATTTACCTTCACCTATTAGAAAGTGTGCAAGACTTTCTGTGAAAGAAAATTGAAGTATTAGTTAAGTCTTAGGTTATTAGGTTCATGAGAATTAATGTTCGCGTTACAATAAATTTTGGGTCATTTCAATGAAACATTTTGCTATCACATTTTTTGTCTGTTTAAGTGCTGATATCTGAACATGACTTTCATAATAAGATGCCTAGTTAGGCTCAAAGTATGATTCCAAAATAAGGACCAAAACAGAAATAAACTTACAATTACAAATAGCATCAACAATACTTAACACAATAATACCATCATAATAAAAATAATAAAAAAAACATGTAAACAAACACAAATGATCAAAGCGATTGTTAATTGAACAAAGTATCAAACGAGCAAATGCAAAATTATAAATGTTTTTGCATAACAACAGCAGACTTTTAGTTAACATTGAATTTCATTTAGGTAATTCAATTTAAATTAAAATTTCTTAGATTTATCTATCTGATAATTATATAGATGAATTTTGATAGATTTATAAAGAAACTAAAGTCCAATAAGTATGAGTAGTTTTACTAGATAATGAAATTAATTTGATTTAAAATTAAATTCAATGTCATATATGGTTATGATAAGCTCTTCTCATTGAAACAGCTTGGCGCGAAATGTGACAGTGTCTTCATTGTTTTCTTTTGGTGGTGTTCAAGCACTAAACTTACCGTGTTGTGGTGACCTAGCCTTCAGCTGCTGAGCTAATTCGATAGCCTTCTTCCAATTCGACTCTTCTCTACTCTTTTCGATCTCTGTTTCGTAACCTCGAACAGCATTTTTGCTCCTCGATGTCATTTTAACACGTAAACACAATCACTCTTTATGTCACACCATTGACTTAATTTAGCACTTCACATATATATTGCAAAATCTAATAAAAATTGCAATATCTTATTTGCAGCAAAGCAATTGAAGGCCAAATTTGACAGATGACACAAAAGGTAACTGACACTGACTGCCAGCACTTTTTTTTAATATAAGGCATAAGGCCCTAGTCCATACATACAGCTGGTCACACGGAAATTTTAAAAACGAAAATGATCGCTCGTGTTCTTAAAATCACGCTTGAACCTATAATGTCAGTTACAAATAT